TTTTTTTTTTTTTTTTTTTTTTTTTTCTTCATCTATGTGTGAAAATTCACATTGAAGAGAGGTGATTGATTTTGTTTGGGCTCTTGGTTGGTATAAAACTTTAAGCTGAAATAGGAGTAACAAGATTTGAGGATGAAAATCAGTAAACTAAATTATTGATTTATTGTTAAAGATTAGAACTTGCATTGTTGTTTTAATTTGCGCGTTAAGTTGAGGTGCTTTTTGCTTGAGACTATTGGGGATTTGTTTATGGATTCATGATCTCTCTGCATTTTCTTTCTTTTTCGTCTATGTGTGAAATTAATCATTGAAGATATGTTCGTTGGACTTTGTTTGGGCAATCGGTTGAGCATAAATCTTAAAGCGGTTATGGGAAGGAAAAGATTCGAGGAAGGACAAAAAACAGTAAATTTGATTTGTTGTATCTCTTTCAAATTCTTGGTTGATTTTTGTCAATTGAACACTCTACTTCTGACTCACACCAAGACTTACGTTTGTTCCCGATCATATAAGTTATTATGTGTTTTGCTGATTGATTGTTCACTGAAAGATATTACGAAAAGGTTAAAGACTGCCACAAGAGGGTATTTCAATAATAGGCAAAATTTGAGACATTGTTTATTCAATAGTCTTTGATCAGTGCTTGAAAAGATATCAAAATACTTGGTAGAAGAGAAAATATCCTATTCAATGTTCCATAATTTGTGGTGTTTTTAATCAGTTGAATATATTTAACTTTTTTGTTCAATTGTTTTGAAAGTTTTATCGTTTTGTTTTGCGTCGACCATATTTTCTGTGGATTGTTCGGGGCCTACTCTAAAAATTGTTTCTTTTTAACTTCTCTTGCATCACCCTGCCCATAACTGCACTCGTGTGTTTCTTCATATATATATATATATGTGTGTGTGTGTGTGTGCTGATAGAAACCTTGTAATTGCAGACCTATTTACAAGGTCAAATTGCAGATACCGAAATTCTCGATACAATATGGAGGAATGTATTCCATGGAAAGTTGACATTTTTGCATTGGAATAAAGGAAAGGAGATGGCCCCAATGGTTGGCAGATATGGTGGAACTCTTCTTGTTCGGAAAATTCCAGCTGCAAATCCTACGTATTGTTTTCCATTCTTCTTTTTTTTTTTTTTTTTTTTTTTTTGCATTAACTTATTGTTATTTCTCTAAATTTGCTGCTGAAAACATGTATTTACTTCTGTCATTAGTTTACCAATCACACAGTCATTCTAACCTTTATCTTTGATGAACATGACTTCTCCATTCTCATATTTCTTTTATCCCTTCATTCTTGGCCTGAATTCAAAGTTTGGCCTTTTTTTAATGAACTTGGACTCGACCGTTTTGGTATAAAGCATTATACATGAAAGATTATGAGACAGTATTTGTTAATCTTTCCAGATAGAGTACTTTACAGTTCTGCTAATTAATTGCAGTAGAGTTGTTATAGACTTAACAAGTTTGAATAGTGATTTTCAGTCACTGCAGATGTATTTATTTTCTCCTCATAATGGCGAGCACGGTTAACTTTGCTGAAACATTTTCTTCTTATGATTAGATATCACTGTCCTTACAGAACTTATGTTTTCTCATTTGCTGTCTACGCCACAGCACTTCTAAACAATATATGCTTTGATCAATATATGATGTAAACAATGTTTCAATAGAGTTGATTTAGTTATAGAAACTAATGATTAGCATGAAATTTTTTTAGCAAATGAGAAAAAAAAAAAAAAAAAGAAAATGAAGAGTTAGATAGTGTTTGTTGGTTTATTTTCTCTTTAAGGAGAAATTTGTTACCTATAATCTCACTTGTCCAATCTGGTCAATTTGATTCTACAATCCATTATGACCTATCAATTCTTATGTATTTCATCTTTGTCTGTGGCAGTCGAGTTCATGTTGGAGATGTGGTAGTACTAAAGGACCCAATAAATTCAAACAATTATCTTGTTCGGAGATTAGCTGCTATTGAAGGATACGAGATGGCATCGACTGATGAGAAGGACGAACCTTTTCTACTCGAAAAAGATCAGTGTTGGGTATTAGCCGACAATCAAAATCTAAAGACCAAGGTATATTCTCTTTTGATACTTCTAGTGGCTATCTACAAAGAATGCACATAATAAATTCCTTAAGAGAGACTCGATATTTCATGTACAGACAGTTTAAATTGTTGCTAGCAACTTCTCTTGGCTAGGGTTAGTTCT